TCCTAGTTTGCCCATCTAAACCCTTCAAACCCCACTTTTTACAATTACAGCACATGCCATGTAAACCTCTGTCTTCAAGTGAAATCATTAGGTTGCGAAATAAACTGTACATCTAGAATATCGTCCACTATTTAGATATCAGGTTGTTTTATTTAATACCAATTGGCCTTTCTCCTACTCATGGCAACACTAATCTTTAGTGTTGAGATTTATTTATGTTCATTTCATCAGAAATCATAAATAAAATCTTTAGTGTGCTGAAGTGGAAAGTAGCATGGAAATAATAAGCCACCAAATGGTAATATGCTACTCAAACTGGATTTCCTGCTTCCTTGTAACTGACAGGTTATTGGTTTTTAGACATAATGGAGAATAGACCTGAGAAATTGAATCTGTGAGCAGTTTGGCAGGAGTTGCTGATACTGGAGGGAATCAGGTGATGAGGCACAAAGCAAAGGCCATTTGATGCAATTGCGATCCATATTGCATTATGTAATATGTTTGTGTCTGACTTCCTGCAGCCGATGACATTTATCTTCGCCGGCTATTTTGATTGGAGTGCTTCCAAACTCGTCCTCACAGAGTTATGTGCACAGCACTCAAGACGCAAGTGTACGTTAGCAAAGCATGATTCAGGAGAGGCTTTTGCTTCCTCGGGCCCTCGGCAGAGAGTATTGAACAGTTTATCTGTTATATAAGTTATTTTTGCACATTTATGCGAGCGTGTTGTATAACCTGTCGGGCCGTAATGCAACGAGATTCTCCCCCCATGTGTGCGTTCGCGAATCTGTGTATGGGTCTGTACATCTTCCTGTATATATGAGAGGCACTTCATCGTGACAGCTTCCAGATTGCTCTCTGAAACACGCTGTTACAGCTGCACGGTGCTCTGTTTTCTGTTCATGTTAAAGTCCCAGCTCGGCTTTCACCTTGACATCTCTAATTTCTCAAAGTTGAGTTTAAACCCACAAAAAACAGTTAATATTCTAGTGACACGATGAGAGGATATAGAGAATGGATAAATATTCTGTAGATGTGCAATCTTTTTCCCTTCCCTTAGAAACTAGTGACATGGCTGAATAGCAGCTTGTGTTCAAAGCTGCTACTTTTAAAATTCCTTCGGTTATTACTTAATAAATCACAGTATCTCTGCAGTAAAGTTTATTTTTGTAATCTTTTAGACAAACGTACTTTATTCTTTGACACTGCACTAAAAACAGTAAATGGGAGAATTTAATTTTTTTGCCATTTCAAACCTTCAAGATTATAAACACATTATCAGATGGCAAACAGCAAAGCACCATGAGCCGGATGCTGTTTGCGTCTCCTTTTGTCTTCCAGCCGCTCTCAAAGCCAACCGGAGGTCCTTTTCCCATAAAAACAAGATGAATTTCTCCAGTAAAACCATTAAAGGGCCGTTAAATGTTTGGACTCAGTAACTGTAGCCAATCTGCTAATGGCCCCTTCCAGTGAATTCTCATTCTCCATTTAAGTTTTACTGGAAATGGCAATTATGTACCACATTTTTATTTCTTAAGTGAAAACAGGTGTGCTATGCCAGAGTGTTGTTATTTTATTTATTTTACTTTTTTGGGTTTTATTTGCAATAATTTTATTAGTTTGTGCTGCATGATATGTACTAAAACACACACACACTGGAAAACATTGGAAATGTTCATTTCATTTGACTTCACTTTGCTGTCACAGACAGAGCTAGTACAATGGATTTCACAGCATCAGTGAGGGCAGAACAAACACAGCAGTGCATACCAGTCCCTGGCCTTATATGCCCTCAGAGCTTTGTGCGCGCTTGCTCATTCATTCACTGTTAAGGAAAGCAAACTTTATACTTGAAATGGATCTCGGATAAACACAGTCACCTCAAGATCGGGTAGTGCGCAAATCGAGTGTGACGCCATGTGTGGAGGCGGGTGTGTCTATCAACTAATAAAATCATATTTGTCTTTGTGGCAAACGGTTCCTGAACGTCCTGTCCTCTTGACCCCAAAGAAAACAACCCTGTTTCCCAGAATGTGTGTGCGTGTGTGTGTGTGCGTGTGTGTGTGTGTGCCAAACACCACCGTGTTTTATTTTTTTTAACATGTCCGTGATTGTCTTTCCCGTCCCGCACTGAAGTGCATCTCTCTTTCCCTTTCAGTCGTGACCTCACTTTCATCTCTGTCCCCTTTCCTATTTCCCTTGCTATTCCCACCCCCTCAGTCTGTGTGTTTGTGGTGACGTTGAGGCTCTGTGCATTTCAGGATCTGTTATATAACTGTTGTGTAAGGTTGAAGGGAGGGAAATTCAGGGTAGAGAGGGTAATCGAGTGAATGGAGGGGGAAAAAAAGCATGTGGTGAACAAGGTGAGCAATTAAAGCCAAACAATAGAATGATGTCGGTCACAAACGACTGAACAGACGTCATAGTGGGTGTCTGATTCCTTGGCTTTTGTATGGGGCCTGTAGAAAGAACGTAGTCAAAACCTTGGATTAAAAAGCCAAAAACTGACGTGACTGGGTTGAAGACATCACAGATGTGATTGGTTTCATTTTCTACTGTAGCTCTTCAAGTCAAGAGCTTTTCATTTAGTTCCTTTTATTATAGTGTGCTTTGTTATCTTCATTTATGCCTTTCTCAAAGCTTACTGTCTGCGCTGTGCAGTCTGCAGGCTTTTGGTTCTGTAAGGCAGCAGGTTGGCTCAGCAGGGCTTTGACCTGATGCTAATATGACCACGAACTGATATAATGCTGAAATAATGATTAACATGCTGTGGGAACATAATGCTTTGGGAATGAGTTTACCAGTATTTGGTCATAAATTCAAGTATTGACTGACTTTGATTTGAAAAAATATATAAATAAAGTTCATTATGGAGCCGGGGGAGTGTTTATAGATAACTGTGTGTCAGCATATTTTAAAGATGTGATGATTTCTATTGGATGAGGGCAGACATTGACCTGGTGCCGACACACGAGAATTCACGGACACGTGAATTAATAGTTGTGTGGAAATTCCTCATGAAACCCTCATGACGATAGCAGGGGGGGGGATTTCTATTCATATTGGACCTGTTTTGGGGTTTTTAAATCTGTAATCTGGCTGTGGTCTGTATCTTCAAATCTCAAAAAGGTTGTGAACCCTTGAAAGCTGTGATTGTATTGAGTTTTTTTCCGCTCTTAACTTGATTTCACTATTAGCGGTAACATGAGACACACAAGCGTACGACACTCACACAGACACGCTAAGGGCTGAGATGAGCTGGTGTCATTAGCAGCCAGATCGAGAAGTTTGTTATCGCACTGATGGACTGAAGGGGCGTTTTATGTAAGTTGTTTTTCAATTCGCAGTGAGCTCATAGCAGCCTCCATTTTCCATTATGTTAAGGATGTGTGTCTGTCTGCCCGTGCGCATGCGTGTCCACGTTCTGATGCTGCCAGGTATCATGCACTGAACATGCTTTCTTTGTGCGTGTGTGTGTGTGTGTGTGTGTGTGTGTGTGTGTGTGTTTGCAGCATTTCCTTGTTTGTCCTGGCAGATTCTTAGCTGGAATGCCATCTACATTTCCCTGTGTGCATTGGATATTTATGTATTGATTCATATTCCTATGTGAACACTTGTCCTCTAAAGTGTGCGTGTGTGTGTGTGTGTGTGTGTGTGTGTGTGTGTGTCCTGTCTTGTGTTTCATAAGCCATCCATATTTATGATCCAGCTCTTACATAAGCCCCAGATCTGGTTCAGTGTGTTTCTGGCAGAACAACTGAGAGGGAGAGGAGGAGGAGAGAAGAAGAAGAAAGGTGAAAGTGAAATCCAGACAGATTGAGAGTAGAAGAAACAGAAGTGGAACTTAAGACAAGTTTGCAAAAAACACTGATGAATTGAAATTGAGCAATCGGAGCGCAGTTGTGATTTTTTTTGGATTGAAAACTGTTTCGACTCTTGCGCTTTAAGAAGAACTTTGTTCGTTGTATTTGAAAACTTAAGTCCTGACAGGCTGCCATCCACCGGTCAAAGTTTCCATTTTAAACACAGCCATGATTGAAAAGAAGCTCAAAGGCAATAACTACAAAATCTAATAATTGCTAACAAAACTTGTGACCAACATTATATTTACCCATTTAAATAAAGTTTAATTATTTGTGGCGGCTAGGAGCTGCTAGCTGAGCAGAGAGACCAGGTCATCGGATATTTGGAACGTTAGTTCTTCAATTCCTGGTTGCTCCAGTCTGTTTTGTCTGTACATGGACAAATGTGTTTACCAGCACAAAAGAGAAAAGGTGAACAAAACAACCGAATGGGAGGATCAGCACGCTCAACTTGAGATTGCTGCAATCACCTAATAGTTTAACGATTTATGACACCAGCAGTTATAATTAATAGGTGTGCAGCTCAGTGTAGGCTCATTTCTGAGAACAGAGAGGAGGTGGCTGCACATGGCTAAAAGAAAGCTCTTAATGATAATGAGTGCCGTGAATATGGAAGTTTCTAATGTATTAAGTTATTTTAGTTATTTGAGATATAAAGCTGTTTCACGCCATTTCCCCGGAGTCATCAAAGTATTATAAAACACTCTGTTATACAAGCCTTTCAGCTGTTGTGACTTTGCAGACATTGGATTTTTCCAAAATCCTCTGCGGCTCTGACCTTCATTAGCGCTGCATGCTTCTCGTTTGTGAAAGTAGCGCCTGAAACAGTTTGATTTTTGATTTTGTGTTTTCCCCCCATATATGACGAGGGAAGTAGCAGGTAGCCACAACATTAAAATCACTAACAGGTTAAGTAAATAACCCTTCAATCTTCTGACCTGCACAAAATTAAGATGGTGGCGTTACAGCTATGGTTTGTCAGTCTCTTATGTGCAACAGTTTGACATCACCATTAAATTCAGACTGCAAAGCAGGTGAAGATCTGTGGGAACTCCATTCAGGATCTATTTTATATTGTGTGAGTTTTAAACTTTTGTTGCTAAACCTGAATTGACAGTTCTTGTCCTCCCCTTACAGACCAGTCCCACAGCGCCTCCTTCAGCTCCGAGAATGAGGCTCAGGGCGGCAACCCTGCTGTGTGGCAGTGCACCCCTCCCCCATCTACCTCACCTACGGCGGAGACGCCGGCTCACCCTCCCTCCTCTCAGCCCGGGTCAAGACCCCACTCCAGGCCGGCAAGCCAAAGCCCCACCCCTCCCTCGGCCCTGACAGGAACCAAGAAGAGGAGCTCCAAACCTGCGCACATGAGACGCAACATCAGGTACAGTTAACTCTGGTCTCAGTCACAGTTCAAACAGAGTCAACTAAAAGAAACCGATTTCTATCATGTCCTATTTAAGTTACGATCAGCTTTGTCACAAAAGGCAGAATCCATTTCGCAGCTTAGGTACTAATTGAATGTTGAATTGAAGATTAAGTGATGCAAACACACACACCAAAGAAACACACTTCAGTATCCATTTTCTACTGGTGATTCAGCGTGGATGGGTACATCCAGCCTCATGCAACATTCCACTGTTTTCAGCTGTTTTTTCTTCTTCTTTTAAGAAGCAGCTATGAAAACAGATGTTCAGATATCAGACAGGTTCTGGGATTGCTTACTTTAGACTCATTTTAAACCAGATCTTTAAAAATGAGCCTTGAGTTATTGCTTGCCAAACAGTAACCAGTCAACCTTGAGATAAAAGCGATTGCTGCGCAATCCCTCGAGTAAGTTGCTGCTGAAGGGCAGAGCAAACCAACATTCACTCCGCTTATGCAACTCGTACTGTATTAGTTTTAACACCCACTGCTGGCTGGATAATAAGATTTATCCTACTGTACATATATATCCTTTATTTTTCTCCCTCTGCTCTTCCCTCATCTTAAATTTCATTTTGAAACTATCTTCCAGTTACTATTGAAATCTATCACTGATGATACATATGCTCAGTCTGCAGCTGTATTACTCCAGGCTGCAAATAAACATGGTATAGCTCAACCCCAAATATGCTGTTGCCTTTACATAACAGCCAGTTTAATATAATATCAAACATGTGTCATGGATAGAAGTTCTGGGTTTATTCCCTGCCATTACATACATATGACATATTTAACTATTTGTGTAAGAGGTGTAGGACTTTTTGTTTTATTTGCCAGTTCAAAGTTGTCCATTTTTTTTCAACAATGATTTGTTTGTTCAATATTTCTTTTTTGAATAATTAAATTATTCAGCTTTACAATTTAGTTAGTGTAAATATAGTGTAAATAACTTTATAACGCTTATTATTAATAAAAAGCATAGCATTATTGAGGCACTGCAAATTATTTTTCCCAACATTAGTTGGAGGCTATAGCAAAACTGAAACCCGTTTGTGTAAATGTGAACACTGCACTGAGTTCTCTAAATATCTTCAATTCTTTTGACATCTTAGAAAAGAATTAGCCCGGAGACACAATGTTCATTTCATCGTCCCATATTCCAGTAAGCTTTTTACCCACTGTGGAAATATAGGATCCAGAAACAACATCAGCAAACACTTAATGCATTTAGTGTGCTAGCAGTACAGCAGAAGTCAGGTATCTACCTACTAGCCTAATCAGTCAGAGTTGTGGTGAAATTTTTTTCTCTTCCAGGGAGAGGTTTTGTGGTCAGATCGGACAAAAAAGGACCGGTTTGGCCAAAACGACAAGAGTAAAGGTCAAACCTGAGAACTCTGTCCCAGCTGTCATGCATGGTGGCGGTACCATCATGCTCTGGAGCTGTTTTACTGCCAGTGGTACTGGTACGTTGCACATAGTGGAAGCAGATCAACAGCTAAATGGTTGAAACTTGGATACAGTTGGGTTTTACAACTTGACAATGATCCCAAACACAAATCAAACCTGGTTTTGGTCTGTTTAATGACTGACTGTAATGTAATCAGTCATTACATTAGAATGGCATTCCCAAAATCCTGACCGCAACCCTATTGAAAATTTGTGGACTACACATAAAAGCTGGGTCTGTTCCAGGAAACCAATTTAAATTAACGCATTTTAAATCTACCAAGAGTGATCAAATATTCAGCCAGAAGTATTCTTGTCATACTTGCTGAAAGCTACCAAAAGGGTCTGGTCGAGGGACATTTAACTAATTTAATAAAGACGGCCACATTATGTATGCTGTCCAATCATTCCATCCATCCATCCATCCATCCATTCGCTTATCCTTTTTCAGGGTTGCGGGGGGCGCTGGAGCCTATCCCAGCTGTCATAGGGCGAGAGGCGGGGTACACCCTGGACAGGTCGCCAGTCTGTCGCAGGGCCAACACACAGGGACAGACAACCATTCACACTCACATTCACTCGCACATTCACACCTAGTGGCAATTTGGGTTATCCAATTAACCTATCCCCACTAAGTGCATGTCTTTGGACGGTGGGAGGAAGCCGGAGTACCCGGAGGGAACCCACGCAAACACGGGGAGAACATGCAAACTCCACACAGAAAGACCCCGGCCTGATGTTGGAATTGAACTCAGGACCTTCTTGCTGTGCGGCAACAGTGCTAACCACCGTGCCACCGTGCTGAGCCTAGCAGTAATGGCAGTAATTTTTCCTCCAAAGCAAAACAAAGCATTTAAAAAGTCTTTGATAATTCTCTGTGGCTTTTTCGCTGAGTCACACATTTCACAGTGCGCAACTCTCTTGGTTCCAATTTATTATTAAACGCTGACTAATGTAGCTTTAAAGAAAGTAATGATGTGACTATCATAATTAAGCCCCTGCAAGTATTCCAGTGTGAGAAGAATGATTCATCAGCAATCGAACACGTGCACAGTGCAAACTGTATGGTTACAGTTTGTGAAATTCTAAAACTAGAATAAAAGCAAACCGATTTGTTGGTGTGTTTGCGCAGGAAGTTACTGAAGGAGCATCAGTTGGAGGCAGTGACCAAAGCGGCCCAGCAGGAGGAGCTGGAGAGAAGGCGCCGTCTGGAGCAGCAAGGACAACAGGATTTCCCCGTACCGCTGCTGCCCGAATACACAACTGGTGAGAGTGTGTGCACAAACATGCAAACTCGCTGCTCCATCAGACAGTAACTGTCTAAACTGTACAACAAACTGCAATTTCAAGTTTGTATCCAGGTTCTGAAAAAACGACTCTCGATTTTGCTTTCTTTTTGATCATCTCACAGCTGTTTTTTTTCTCTTTTCATCCCTCATTTGTCCCCAAATCTTCTTCCAATACTAACGTCACCTACGTAACCTTTTCTCCAGGCGATGTGACAACGCATGCGTCGTCATCGGCAACGTCAGCAGCATCTCAGCAAGAAGTGAACTCGAGCAGACGGGAGGTGATCTGTGTGGACTCGGGCAGCACGGGCATCAGTGAAGACGACAGCAAGGCTAACATACCCGCCTCTGTTAGCCCACAACACACACACAAAACAGGTAAGAGACACAGACAGAGGAAGGCAAAAAAAAAAAAGTAATGCCAAGTGTTTTAGACCAACTTAAACCAGCAGCTCAGTTCAGTTTGAACAAGAGCTTTTATTCTTATTGTCAAAGGACATCACTTGAAATCAGATGTTTCTCAAAGCAAACAGAAAAAAACTAACAGAAACAAGATGTTTGTCTGGTTCCAACGTCCCTTTTTTGTGCGTTTTATGACTGAAGAGTCGTTACTTAGCTGTGTTATTGCACGCTGTTGTTGTTTTACATTTCAAGTGAATACTTGAGGTTTCTTTCAGTCAGCATATTTCCTTTTCAGTCTTTAGAAGAAGTATTCAAAAATGCTTGTGTTAAAAAAAAATGTGAGATATATTTTAAAAAAAACTAAACACAGTTTGCATTTTGTGGACAAAGACTTGGAGTACTGACCCTTTTCTTGTAATCTCAGGGTGTACTTTACATGTATCATGGAATAATCGTAGAGGGGACGGTCGCCTAACTGGACAAAACCTTTAAAAAGCAGAATCCTTATTGTTACAAAGCCCAAACACCACAGTGTGCAGCAACTTTTAGTTTTTCGGGACATTCAGGATTTTAGTGTATTTCTTTTCCCATTCATTCCTCATCACGTTTAACAGAGGTTTGAGGGCAGATTCAACTTGCAGAAACTTGGATTTTAAGTTTAAGCCATCTGGTTATAAGCTCAAAACCATGTTAGGTCTTTAAAACTTCCAGGATCAATCTCACTTTAAGGACTGGCAGCTTCTCCAGGCTCTCAGTTTCAGCTGTGGCAGGCTGCAGACTTCCTCTTTGGGTTATTTAATTGGTTTGCCTTATTAGTGCAGAATGAAGTATTGTCCGTTTATGCTATCAGGCGTTGCACAATTGCTGTCATGACTTATGTAAAAGTGACTCATCTGTTCTACTCAAACATGTAGCAGTTACATCACAGTGTCTGTCCTACTGTTGGATTTCTTGGTACTGAAGGTACTGAAGGCTGCACAATGCAAAATCATAAAGTCATAAAACATTTTACTACAGTCGGTGTTGAGAAACAGTAGATCCACAGTGTGCAGCTTCTCTTTTTCTTTACACAACATAATGTTAAAGTTCAAGCTTGACCGTAAAGAGGGGGGTGTGTGTGTGGGGGGGGGCACACTGACCCATCAAAAGGAAATATCTCGCAACTGTAGCAGTTTGACGTTGTCTGGTGGAAACCTCACATCTCATCAGCCTTTTAAAGATTAAGCAAACCAGCCTCAATAGCCTCATGACAGGCATGCGTTTATTAAATTACACACTCTGTTTCAAAATGCTTTCTGAGCCCAGGGGTCTGGAAAGCTGACGCAGTAAAAGACTCGACAGATTGAATTTCCAGAAGAAAAAAAAAAGAAGGAAGATTTGAAAGACAGCCTGAACTTGAATATCGAATGAGGTTTTTACTCCAAAAACCACAAGTCAGCACATATTTAGGTGTCCATTCATCTGCAGAGATGAACAGAAATCAGTATTTATGTTCAACATCACGTCTGTAAACTACAGGAAGTCGTATGGGTTCTGTTTTGTGACTGCAGCTCTAGTTTCGCTCTCGCAGCTGCCTCAGTAGAGCCGCTGGAAAGGAAGCGTCCCATTATTTCAAATGAAAACTTGCTGATTACTTTACTTGTGATTAAAAAAAAGAAAAGAATCCTTCTAGGGAGGATTTTGTAAAAACATTTAAACTTAATTACTAAGTCTTACAGCACCAATTTAAACTGAGGTCAAAATTCTCCCTGCTTCCTGTAAAGGTTGTGTGTCTGTGTGTGCGTGTGTGAGTTATAAATTGCAGGGTGTTTTCGTAGATTAGCTGCCATGTGCATCAGAATATTTAGAACCTTCAGAGAGTACATCATGTACTGTTCCCTTATTGCCCGAGTGCGCACTCTCTCACAACCTCACACAGTCACAAACATTCAGAAAGCCACTCAAGGATAAACACACACGCACACAGTTTGGTATAAACACATATATTTCAGTGTCGGGGCCAGAAGATGAAGGCAAACCGTAGACACACATACCTGCAACACAAACAAATGAGGATGGGAGGGTGAGAGAGATGGCCGTGATAAACAGAGACGGTTAATATGTAGATGTGAAAGCTGAGAAAGACAAAAGCAAAGAGGAAAAAAGGCAAATGTAAGGGGGAGAGGGGAAGGGAGATGAAAGGGGAAAGTGTGGGTCTGTGTGTGTGTGTGTGGGGGCAGATCAGAGTGGGTCTGTGGAGCAATAAAGCCGGCTAATCCTGGTTATGAGCCAGAACACACTCACATAACAAACACACACACTTTCACCACAGTGGCACAGTGACATTTCTAGTTTGGGTTGCATAACCAGTCTCCCCCTCCACTCTAATCCTACTTGTATAACCAGCCATTCACTGCAGTTATATAAGCTCTCTCTCCCTCTCTCTCTCGCGCGCGCGCGCACACACACTAACATACTGACACACACCACCTCTTCCCGTTGTGCCCTCACAGGCTGCCAGCTTGTGTAACTTTAACCACTTGATACCGCTGACGTTGAATTCCTTTTTTTATCAGATATGGATTTCGGTCGTTCCATTTCCAAACGCGCACGCACGATAACCTTCGCGTTTGAAGCAGCGTCATACAAGATGCGACCAGTGACCCCTGTTACTTGACATGAATGTATGAAGGCCATTAAAAAGAAGGAGGGCTTGTTTTCATTGGAATAGCTGCTGCAAGATTTCTCAATCTTCGGCACTTGGGCCGCTGGGCCTGTTTATTCACAGTCTCTCATTCTGTGTGTCTCAAAAGTGAAACAGCCCTGCTCACCACGAAAACAGCATGAAATGCACCGATTCTTAAAGTGTTTATCATTTAACCTAGTAGAATTACCAATTTTACATAATTAATAACTTCTCCAGTTTGCAATTTCTCCTCCACCGCCAAAAACTATATATTTATATCTAGTTTTTATTGTCTCTAGATTTTAATTTTTATATGCAAGTGTTTGTGTACTCTCTCCGGCCTGCGCAGACGTCATAGATCTGAGCTCTGGCGAGGACGACTCCATCGTCCACGTTAGCGAGTCTACAGCTGAGGAAGAAGAAAGCGAGCCGAGCGACGCCCACATCAACGATGCCCTCAACCAGCCGGACGCCCAGGGGAGGGTGCTGGTCAACCTGAACCATCCGACTACAGAGGAAGACATCTTCCTGTCGCCTCAGCTGGCCAGAGCAGTGAAACCTCATCAGGTACTAATGTAGCAGCACCTAGTGTAACTTTTTGAAAAATCCAAAAAAAAGGAGAATTTATTCATTGTGTTTAAAAAGTCCTTTGATGTCAATTTTGTAAAGCCCCATAAATCCTGACCCCGGAGTTTCACTCTCTCTGCTTTTCTTATGCTGCCTCTTCCTCCTTCTCAGATTGGGGGAATCCGTTTTCTGTACGATAACCTGGTGGAGTCGGTGGAGCGCTTCAGCAGCAGCAGTGGATTCGGCTGTATCCTGGCACACAGCATGGGCCTGGGAAAAACGCTGCAGGTCATCTCCTTCATCGACGTCCTCTTCAGACGCACCCAGGCTCACACCGTGCTCGCCATCGTACCTGTAAGAACCCGCGGGTTTGATCTTGGTGTAGTAGAACGGAGAAGGATTCAATAAATGCTCAGATATATGGAAGAAGAGAAAAATCTAAGTGGATTAAATCAAAAGATATAAGTGAATAGATGAATAATAGAATAAGTGCATGGACACGTTTTGCCTGCGAGCTTTCGATCGATAGATAGAAAGTGTGTGTAAAAGTTGATGTGAAGAGAAACTCAGAGAAAAGGGCATGTTAATAAATAATGTTAAGATGTTCTGCAGCTCACGCTTGCATGAATTATTGATCGTATTTATCCTTGAGTTCTATTATCTTAAAATGATTTTGCATCAAAAGGGAAAACGAAACACAAAAAACGGAACACATTTGCTGGACTTGTGAAGCTGGAAGGCAACACGCTTGTTGCCTTTGTTTGGAGTGAGGTTTCTGAGCTGTGACTCTTATGACGTGAACAGAATTCTTATAGAAATTAGATGATAAGCTATAAGAGGGTTTGGTGATTTTTTTAATATGTATATATTTTTTGTTGTTCCAGGTGAACACCCTGCAGAACTGGCTGTCAGAGTTCAACACCTGGGTCCCGCCCCCTGAGGCTTTACCTCCAGATCCTGATCCTGCAGTGGTGACACCACGTACCTTTAAGGTTCACATTCTCAACGATGAACACAAGTGAGTAACAAACACACTTCTTTTTCTTTTTTTTTAACCTAATCCTTTTTAAGATTGGGCGCTTAAAAACAACCACATCTTTGTTGTTTTGCTCTATCACACTAGACAGAATTCAAATTGATTAAATGTTATGTAATCATCGAGGAAGAACCAAAAACAATAAAAATCCTGCAGGTTCTCTCCTCCTCACACAGACAGCAGGGTCAAAGCAGTCAGGAAGTGTTTCATTTATCTGCCTTTTAAAAAACCAAAAAGACTAAGCTGACCCTCTGGTCGGCCTGTGAGCTTAATCCCCGTCTGGCCCGTCCTTTCTCCCGTCTCTCTAGTATCTTCCCTCCCAACAGCTGCTGGATTTCTGCTGGAAAAGATTTTCTGATTCTCACGCGTATGTGAATGTCTGAAAATATTTATTTAATATAAGATAATCGGATATTATTACAGGATTTCCTCCCTTCTTTGACTCATTTTCTTCGCCTTTAGTCATACATCTCACACTTTTTCATAGGTTTCACTTAAAGGTGCTTCGAATCACATTTAAGCTCATCACTCAAAGGAAAACATGCCTCCAGCTTTCTTTCTCTTTTTTTTCTTCTTTTTTTTATTGAACTGTAATGAATGTTATCTTTTTAGGAAAACACTTTTACTTTGTGGATTGCTGCCAGGCAAAAATATATTTCATTGTCTTACCTTTGAGAAACACAAGCAGTAACCAACCTGATATCTTCTGGTGATATCCAGGAATACTACAGCCAGGGCAAAGGTGGTGGAGGACTGGGCTCGGGACGGGGGCGTGCTGCTGATGGGCTACGAGATGTATCGCCTTTTGTCACTGAAGAAGAGCTTCGTGGCTGGAAGGAAAAAGAAGAGCAAGAAAGCAGCGGGACCTGTCGTCATCGACTTGGATGAAGAGGACAGGCAGCAGGAGCTACTTAAAGGTTAGAGAGACTGGGGATGATGATAGAGGTTGCAGGACAGGAAGGACAGGACGTGAAGTAAAAATGGGAGAAATGCAAAGACTAGTTTCAGATTACAGTGCAAGAACAATCAGAATAGCAAATTAGATTAAAAATATCCTTACTTGTTCTCTGTAGGTATCGAGAAAGCTTTGGCTCGGCCCGGTCCAGACGTGGTAATCTGCGACGAAGGACATCGCATCAAGAACTGCCACGCCAGCACGTCGCAGGCTCTAAAGAACATCCGAACCAGACGCCGTGTGGTCCTCACCGGTTACCCGCTCCAGAACAACCTGATTGAATACTGGTGCATGGTCGACTTTGTCCGGCCCGATTTTCTAGGTACGGAGCAACCTGTGCCTCGTTTCAGCAGACGAGCATTAGCAGTTAATGTCAACACTGCAGCTTTTACACCCTGTGCACATTTCAGGTACGCGGCAGGAGTTCAGCAACATGTTCGAACGTCCCATTCTGAACGGCCAGTGTGTGGACAGCACGCCTCAGGACATCCAGCTGATGAGGTACAGGAGCCACGTCCTGCACAGCCTGCTGGAGGGCTTTGTACAGAGGTAAGGGTCACTGTCATTGTCCATAAAAGAAAAGCTCAGTGAGGTTTTTGCGAATATTGATTGTAATTTGTCTTTAATCCAGACGAGGCCACGATGTCCTGAAGGACCAGCTGCCTTCTAAGGAGGAGCATGTGATTCTGGTGCGTCTGTCTCCCCTGCAGAGGGCCCTCTACACAGAGTTCATGAACCGCTTCAGAGAGGCAGGAAACACGGGCTGGCTCAGCCTCAACCCGCTCAAAGCGTTTTGCGTCTGCTGCAAGGTGAGGAGTGCGAGCGTGTGTCTGGATCTCTTCAGAAACTTTGTTTCACTGGTGACGATAATGACATTTATATATAGTTTTTCTAAATATAAATTTGCGTTATTCTTCAGATTTGGAACCATCCAGATGTCCTGTACGAGGCTCTGCAGAAGGAAAACCTGGCAAGCGACCAGGATTTAGACCTTGATGACATCACCTCTACAGGACGATGTCCGGCACCAACCAATCAAAAGCCCAAGAACCTGGACAACCCTAACCCCGTCGGTGGCCTGAGCCTTAACCAGCTGCAGGAGAAAGCCAATCAGGTCATCACATATGAATGGGTACGTTGGAAGACTATTAGAAAAGTGCGATCCAATCAAAGTTAACAAATGTTGATACTGAAATTTTAAATAGTCCATGCTGTGTTCAGATGTGAGAAAACTGGCCCATAGTTCCCATCTGTAACCTCACTTTTTCAAAATCAGTGAAACTGCTTATATAGGAAAAACCTCTGAAGCTGGTCTGCAAGCAGTTTTTACAGTCTGTCTTCTCACACGGACAGGCAAAGGACATCATGACTGACTACAAGCCTGGCATCCTGGAGAACTCTGCAAAGATGGTTCTGCTGTTCCACCTGATAGAGGAGAGTGTCAGAAAGGGAGACAAACTCCTCGTCTTCAGGTAAAAGATGTAAAAAGTGCTAGGATGCAGATTTTTGATTCGAAAGAAAAAGTAATAAAAATCTTTACTTTTCAACAATTTTGCATTCCATTACTTACACTCGTGCACCTCATGGATCAGATTTCTTATC